CTTTCTCCTGAAACCAACCATTTTTGGTGCTGCATGTATCTGGGCTATCTTCTCCCTCTCTTACTTCCATTGATCCTGTGCCTCTGTCTTTCCCTGCTTCAGTAGTTGGAACTTGGCACAGAGTGCCTGGTTTCTTCTTTTCTGTAGTCAGGGTTGGCACCACATGCCGGTAGCACCTCTGTGGATCCTTGGTAGTATTGGGACCCTTGACACTCTGGACACTGGTGGCTGTGACTGTGTCCAAAGGCAGGGGAGGCCCATGGTCGGCATTACCTTTGGCCAGACTCTCCATTCAATCCGACTCCCCAGTGATGTTTGTCTTGGGGATCCCTCTCTTTTTCGTGTTCTTTGTTTTCTTGAATGTTTCAGGTCTGTGGGGAGGATACTGCTGATGTTCTTGTGGCAGTTTCTTGCCCACAGTTCTTTTTGATTCTTATTGTTTCAGACATCTGAGCGCCAGTACGGGAAAGTTGGGCTGGCCACATTCCCAGGCTCTAGGAAATCCTCTATTCTCCCACTCACCGACTAGGATGTCATTTCCTACTCTACCTCAAGTCACCTGGAGTCTCTTGCTCACCACTCAGCCTTCCTCAATTGCTAGTAGTGGTGTCAACCATCAAAGGGAATCCAGGTGTAACTGAGAAGCATGGAATGTGGGCATGGCCACTATTCCTGTATCCCATTGATCAAAAAGAACCATGAAAGAATGGGGGTGTGCCTGGAATCCTGGGATGCAGACAGAATGGACACAGTCAAGATGACAGCAGCCCCTTTACCAGGAAACTCTGTCAAATCCAGTTGGGGACAATAGGGAGACCTGCTTTAGCCAGATGGCTGCACAGATTGTTGTGTATGTCTGTTTGTTGCCAGTCCTGGAACTTGAACTCAGGATCTGGGCACAGTCCATGAGCTGTTCTTGCTCAAGATTAGCCCTCTACCACTGGAGCCACACAGCTCTACTTCTGACTTTGTTGGCATTGAGGTTGGACAGTGGTCTCAAGGAATTCCCTGCCTAGGGTGACTTTGATCCTCCTATCACTGCCTTGTAAGTATCAAGGAGGACTGGTGAAAGCCACTGGTGCCTGACTAATCATTGTTCGGGATTATCGCTTCCCCATTAGCCTGCAAGCCTTCAGCAATGCAAGGTGAAGTATCATTTGGAGCAGGATCACTCAGACCCAGATGGCCACGGTGCAAAATAAGAAAATGTATAAATGCCATCCCACCACTTTTTTTCTGTACATCTCCCTCCCCTCCATCTCCCGTTACAAGGCCTGAAGTTCTAGGACCCCAGGATAGGCTGTGTTTCCAGCGGCTGCACCCCAGCCAATGGTGATGAAAGCTGAGGCATGGTTGCCATGACCTGAGTTCAAGACCGTTTTTGGCAATAAAAGCAAAAAAAAAAAAAAGCTCCCTGGCTTGCAATTCACGGTGTTTCTCCTACCTTTGAATTTGAACTCAAGGCCTGGGTAACTCTGAAGCACTGTGGATGAAGGGGAAGCTCACCATGCTTGAAGACAAGAAAGTAAGGCCTGGTCCTTAGGCATGAATTAAAGTTCCCACCCAGGAAACATTCTATTTATATACATTGTAAAGGTATGATTTGTACTTACGTATAGATGGTCAGTCCATATCCTGTTTGTTGTGGTTATTTATTGTATTTTTGTTTTATTCATTTATTTTCCATTTTTTTTGAAAATACTGTACAGAGGGGTTACAATTACATGGTCAAGATAATGAGTACATTTCTTACCAACATTGTAGCCTTCTCCTTTTTTTCCCCATCCCATCCCTTCCCATTCTCTTCCCAGCCCCCACCCACAATCCTCCCTGATCAGCCCCCCCCACCAAAGTTGTAAAGTTCGTTTTTGAAATAACAACTTGTACATCTCATTGTTGCAATGGGTCCACCTGTATCCCTATTTAAACTATTTGTTTTTCCCCTTCCCCTCCACAAATTATACCAACATCAATGCTGTCAAAGCAGGGGTTATACTGTGGAGGACATACAAAGCAACAAAGAAAAAATCTTATAAATGTGTTAGAAACAATCACAAGAAAGAAAAAAATTGAGAACATATCTTACCGTTCATTTCCCTAATATCTCCTTATCTGACCTTTTCTGCTTGACTCAGACATATACTAGATATTGCAAATAAGGGAAACAATGGGACCTATGTATCTTTGGAACTGGCTTACTTCACTTAATATAATTTTTTCCAAGTCTTTCCATTTCCTAATAAATGGGGCAGTGTCATTCTTTCTGATGGAGGCATAGAATTATATTGTGTATCTATACCACATTTTCTTGATGCATTCATCTACTGAGGGGCATCTGGGTTGGTTCCATATATAAGCTATAGTAAATAGTGCTGCAATAAACATAACTGTGCTGGTAGCTTTAGTGTGGTCTTGTTTGTAAACATTTGGGTAAATGCCCAAAAGTGGGATTGCTGTGTCATAGGGTAGTTCTATGTAGAGTCTTTTGAGGAACCTCCATACTACTTTCCAAAGTGGTTGAACAAGTTTACACTCCCAGCAACAATGCAGTAAGTTTCCCTTCTGTCCACATCCCCTCCAGAATCTGTTGTTATTAGCGTTCTTGATTGTAGCCATTCTAACTGCGGTGAGGTGATATCTCAATGTTGTTTTGATTTGCATTTCTTATGGCTAGGGATGTTGAGCATTTCTTCATATGTCTATTGTCCATGCTTCTTTCCTCTTCAGAGAAATTTCTCTTTAAGTCTTTAGCCCACTTATTTATTGGGCAGTTGTTTCTTTGAGGATTTGTTGTAGGGAGATTTAATTTTTTGAGTTCCAAATATATTTTTGATATGAAAATTTTTTTGACTGTGATGATATATTCCATTTATGATATTGATGACAACCCATCACATAGTATCTAGATTTGTAGATATGTTCTCCATCCTGTCTTACACTCAGGACTCTCAGGGAAAAGGAAAACAGGTATCACACTCAGCTTCTTACTCCATGATCCAATTGTTGGCAGTGCTGGGATCTGAACTCAGAGCCTGGCAGACCCAATTCAGACCGTGAATGGGTGTGTCAACATGGCAACCTCTTACCTATGAAGCTGCCAGGGAATTTCCAGATCTCGAGATTGAGCCAGATGGATGGACAAAATAGCCACACATAGGTAGACAGGTGGTAGAACACCAATAAATATATATTTGTACAGCATGTCAGAGACATCTACCTAGGATTCAATGACATCAACTACATTCCTACTACCTCTTAGGTATTTATTATGCCACCATTGAAGGAATAGTATTCTTTTCATGCTTAATAAACCATTCATTAAGATGAATCATCCTCCTAGGATCATTCCATCTAATTTTGGACTAGACCAATCACGCAGAAACTTCTCATTCAATCATGAGTTTGCTAACATTTCATTGTTATTCCCATGGATAAGAACAAGTATCTTGGGATCTGCCCTCACTGGTAGGTGTCAGGACCAGAATTCAAACTCAGGGCCTATGTTGCCGCATGGGCCTATTTCTTCCCTGATAGCCCGTTAGCCTTCTCCAATGCAAGGTGAAGTACCCTATGCAGCCGTGTAATTCAGACCCACATGGTCACCGTGCAAAAGAAGAAAGTATAAAAAATCCATCCTGGGACATTTTTTCTGTCATTTTTCTGTCATTTGTTCGAGCAAACTTCAGAGCCTAGGATTTCAGGATTGGCTACAGGCCCATGGGAGCCCGCCAGCCTAATGTGATCGAAGCTGAGGTAGAGTTGCCATGAACTGAGTTCAAATCCCATGATTGGCAATAATAATAATAATAATATTAATAACACACCCTGTCTCAGAATTCTCACCATTTTTCTGCCACCTCTGAGATTCCAACTCAGGTCTGGGTATCTTTGTTGCACTGTAGGGGAAGGTGAACCTCACCATCCTTGAAGACTACAAGGTCAGGCCTAGTCCCAGGGCCTGAACTGAAGCCCCAGCACTGGCAAAAATCATATGGTCACCTACTTTACACATAGGATTTCTCTTTACATAGAGATATGGAATGCATCATGCATTCAGTGTAGTTATTCTTTTTATTGTGTGTCTTAGTCATGGATGCATTTTGTATTTTATTACATATGATGACAGCTATAACTGTGCTGACATGGATGGCAACTGATTCCCATGAATATAGAGTTGCCTATATAGCATACTGCATCCTAGCTGAGACCCAGGACTTTCACAGGACAGGAAAACAGTTGCAACGATTGGCTTCTCACCTCAGGATTCATCTTTTGGCAGTTCTGGGATCTGCCCTCGGGGACTAGCAGGCCCAATAGGCAAATGGGTCCAGGTAAGCAAACCAGCCTGTGAGCCACTAAGGAGCTAGGCCATTCCCAAGACCTGAGATTGAGCCCCGCGGGGGGTGAGGGGAGAGAACGGGGATCACAATAGTCATCTATTCATAATCTGAAGGTAGTAAGTTCATATTTGTATAGAGTAGGATGGCGACCAGTGATGGAATCCAATCTACCTTGTTACTAATGATTCTTGGATCTTCCCCAATGCCTCCATTTCATGACTGTGATGATTATAGTCATGTTTCATCAACTTTTCATTAAAAATAATAAATACCCCATGAGTCTTGCCTATCATTTCCTACTCACATCAAGCAGGAAGTACTCATTCAAGGATAAGATTGATTGCCTTCCACAACTCTTCCTAAGTCTGGAAATGAGTGTTCCAGGATCTCCCGCCATTCCCTCATCGTAACAGGGCTGACTGGGATTCGTCCTCAGGGCCTTCACTGTCCGGTTAGCCTGTGGCTCCCCCGAAAACCAGCAGGCCTTCAGTCATGCCAGGTCACCTTCACTCTGCAGGCAGCCATGTTCGGACCTAGAATGGTCACCATGCAAAGGAAAATAAACATAAAAGAGCCAGATGGAATTTACCGCCGCTTTTTTCCCCTGGAGCGTTTTATTTTTCCAGCAAGCCCCAGAGTCCGAGGGTTCGAGGACTGTCTGTGGGTCCAGAGGCTGCAGCCTAGGATGATCAGAGCTGAGGCAGAGGTGCCACGACTTGAGTTCAAGCCCCAGGTCTGGTAAAAAAAAAAATTAAAAAACTATGAACGAAGAACCATAGTTCAGAATTTGTGCCATTTTACTGCGAGAGCTGGGATTTGATCTCAGTTTTGGGTAACTCTGTTGCACTGTGGGGGAAGGGAAGCTCACCATCTTTGAAGACTAAAAGGTCAGGCCTGGTACTGGGCCTGATTTTAAAACCCAGCACTGGACAAGCCCACTCTTTTAAACATAGGATCTCTATTTACATACAGGTGTGGTATGCACCTTGTTTTCAGTATAGTTAATCTTTTTATTTTGTGTCTTATTCATCTATGTATTGTGTATTTTATTGAATCTAGGATGACATATATAAATGTGCTCACATGGATGACAACCTATTCCCATGGGTATAGAGTTGCCTCTGCTTTCTAGATCCTAGCTGTGACCCAGGACTTGCACAAGATAGGAAAACATCTGCAAGGCTTGGCATCTCACATCAGGATGAGCCTTTTCGAAGTGCTGGAACTTGAACTCAGGGCCTAGCAGAACCAACTGCCAAATGGGTCCACAGGAGCACACCAGCTTATGAGCCACTAAGGAGCTAGGCCATACCCAGGACCTGATATCTAGCCCCAGGGTGGGGGTGGAGCACCATATTCATCCATTCATAAGCTGAAATAAATATGCTAATAAAGGCCTTTATGTATAGAGTAGGAGATGTGGTGAGCTATGTTGGAATCCTATCTTCCATGTGACTACTGATTCTTGGATCTTTCCCAATGCTTCGATTTCCTGAATGTAAATATTGTCACACTTCATGCAGTCTTAACTAAGATCTTGCCTATCATTTCCTATGCGAATCATGTATGCACTTCTCAACTCTTCCCTAGGCCTGAATTCAAGCACCAGTACTGAAAAACATAGCATTTATAGACATTTTAAATATTTGAGTTATATCTCTATATTCATTTTAAATCGTGTATGTTGGAGTGACTCATCATATTTTATTATTATTGATTGATTGATTTAGCATTTAATTTATAGACTGTGGGTACACCTATAACATTTATTACATTTGTCCCAATCTATTCCGTAGCATGTAGCTTTGCATACATAATATGTACATCATACGTGAAACCTAGCACTTGCACAGAAAAGGAAAACAGGTGTCACACATGGAATCTTACACCAGGAAGAAACTATTGGTAATGATGGGACCTTGACTGAGGGAGTAGGAGGCCCAATTCATGAAGGGGTGAGTGTCAGCACGGCAGCATCTAGCCCATGCAGGTACCAAGTGGATCCCAAGACCTGGGATCGAGTTCCAGGTTGGCCAAAATAGCAAAAATGTTCTATGCAGATGATGGTATACAAATAAATATAAATGTAGATGTTTACGTACTGCCAGAAATGTCTATTTAGTATTCAATGACACATACTATGCTCCTACAGATTCTCAGGTCTTTAGTGAGGACACCATTTAATCAATAGTATTCTTTTAGTGCATAATAAACTATGAATTAAAATCAGTCTGTGTCCTGTGATTATTGGGTCTAATTTTCTGCTAGACTGATTGATGAACTGATTGTAAGTGGTGTGACTGGGATTCAAACTCAGGACCTAGGTGTCCAGGTTCTGGACACCTAGGTCCTGCCTTCAGCAGTGCTAGGTAACCTACAGGTTGCAGCCGTGTCATTTGGACTCGGGATGGTCATCAGGCAAGAAAGGAAAACCAAGAAACTGCCAACCATCCACAGATTGCTGATTTTTCGGTGCTGTTTTCATTTTGTTTTCCTGTCAGCCCCCGAGGCATACCAACCCATGATGGGCTGTGGGTCCAGAGGCTGCACCATCCCAGCCTAGGGTGATGGAATCTCAGGCAGTGTTGCCACAACCTCAGTTCAAGCCCCGTGATTGGCAATCAATCAATCAATCAATAAAATTTAAAAATATTAGAAATAGCCGGGCGCCAGTGGCTCACACTTGTAATCCTAGCTACTCAAGAGGCTGAGGATTGTGGTTCAAATCCAACCCAGGCTATAAAGCCCATGAGACTCTTATCTCCAATAAAGCACTAGAAAAACAGAAGTGGTTCTGTGGCTCAAGCGGTAGTGCACTTGCCTTGAGCTGAAGAGTGCAGGGACAGCACGCAAGGCCAGAGCTCAAGCCCCACGAAAAAAAATTGTAAAACTAATAATGAAGTTCCCCAGCTTGGCATTCTTGCCTTTTTATTTTCCTGTCAGGTATAGGATTTAAACTCAGAGTCTGGGTAAATCTAATGCACTGTTCGTGATTGGGAAACTCACCATCTTTGAAGACAAGCAATTCAGGCTTGTTCCCTAGGCCTGAATTCAATCCCCAGCCCTGTTAAAGTAATATTCATCCACATTTGAAATAATGATTAATATCTACATACTTATGTTTACCGCATATTATTTTACTGTGTATTTATTTTATTTTTTGCACTATTCATTCATTCATTATTTATATTGACTTATTACACTTATAACATGTATTAAATGGATTACATCTTATGAGAACTAAACAGATTAGCATATGTATTATATATCTTACTTCAGACCCAGGACATTCACAGAAATTCTATAGTAGATGATCCCATGGGCTATAAAGCCCATGAGACTCTTATGTCCAATAAAGCACTAGAAAAACAGAAGTGGTGCTGTGGCTCAAGTGGTAGAGCGCTCGCCTTGAGCTGAAGAGCTGAGGGACAGCGCCCAGGCCGAGAGTTCAAGCCCCACATCAACAACAAAAAGAAGTGTATTTCAAGTTTCTTTCCTCAGAATCAATCTTTAAGTTTGTTCATGCTCTGGGCATCGGTGGCTCATGCCTATAATCCTAGCCACTCAGGAGGCTGAGATCTGAGGATGGGGGTTCAAAGCCAGCCTGGGCAGGAAAGTCCGTGAGATTCTTATCTCCAATAAACCAGAAATCGCACTGTGGCTTATCTCCAATAAACCAGAAATATCACTGTGGCTCAAGGGGAAGAGCACTTGCCATGAGTTGAAGAGGCGAAGGTAGGCAGCCAAGCCCTGAGTTCAAGCCCCACCACCAACAAAAAAGAAAGAAAGAAAGAAGTTTGTTCATACAGATCATAAAATTCTAACCTTCTGAGCTTTAGGAAACTTGCCTTCCTTTTCTTCCAGGGTCTTATGCTCCTTAGGCAAGTACTCCACTACTGTGCTACATCCCAGTCCCAATGTTTTTGTTTTTCATTTTACAATTCACTTTATTCCCAAAATGCTTACAAGTACCTACTGTCCTCACAGAAGTGAGTTTTTATTCAGAAACCCAACCTTTTGTGGTATGAGTATTCCCCTAGTGTATTTTGTGGTAGGCACTGAGGAAAACTCACATGATACAATTGTAGAGAGTTTATAGTTATAGAAATAACTCTAAATAGAAATAACATCAACTGTCCCTCTAGGGAGGAATGATGTACTCATTTTCATTCTCTCTTCCTGGCAGATGGTCAAAATGGAAACACCAAAGTGCTATGCTGAAATGTAAATGTTTAAACCCCATTTTGAAAAACTCTCATGTTATCAAATCAAAATGTGGCAAATAAAGGCCAAGTGAACTTTAAAAAATATGAAAAATGCTAATGAAGCTCCCTGGCTTGGAATGTGTGCTATTTTTTTGTCTGCAGGGCTTGGGATTTGAACTCCTGGTCTGAGTAACTCTTGCATCTAGGGGGAGGGGAAGGTCTCTATGCTTGAAGATCAGAAAGTCAGGCCTCTTCCCTAGGCCTGAATTCAGGCCCCAACCCTGGAAAACGTAGTCCTTACATGTATTTTAAAGATAGGATTGGACTTCCAGACAGGTGTTCAGTCTATATCATGTTTGGTGTGGTTATTCATTGTACTTTTTGTTTTATTCATTTATTTACCGTTTATTTTATTGACTGTGATGACACCTAACCATGTATAACACTGTTTACACCCTATCACATAGTATTTAGATTTGTAGACTTGTTCTCCATCATGTTTACACCCTATCACATAGTATTTAGATTTGTAGACTTGTTCTCCATCATGCCTGACCCCCACACTCTCACAGAAAAGGAACACAGGTGTCACACTTGGCTTCTTACTCCAGGAGGATTTTTGGCAATGTCTGAGATCGAGCCCCAGGGTGGGCCAAACTAGCCATACATGGATAGGCAGGTGGTAGTACACCAAAAATACATATTAGTACAGAGTGCCAGAGCCATGTATCTAGTATTTAATGACATCTGCTACATTCCTACCAAGTCTTAGCTAGTTATTATACCACCATTGAAGGAACATTATTCTTTTCATACCTAATTAACCATTAAGTAAGTTCAATCAGTGTCCTAGGATTATTTCATCTAATTTGAGTCCACACAACTGCACAAACTATTCAATCATGTGTTGGATACCATTCCATCGGAATTTCCATGTGCAGGCAAGAGTCGCTTCTCCTGCCATTGGTAGGTGTCAGGACCAGGATTTGAACTCAGGGACTGTGTTGCAGGGTTGGCCTATGGCTTTCCTGACAGTCCGCCAGCCTTGAGCAACGAAAGGTCACCTGTGCATGGCATTCATGTCATTCAGACCTAGGATGGTCACCATGCAAGGAACCAAAGCCAAGAAACCGCCTTCCATGGGCAATCGCGGCTTGTTTTAGTGTCATTTTTATTTTATTTTCCTGTCAGACATCGGGTCTTAGGATTCCAGGATTGGCTTTGGTTCTGGAGGCTGCAACCCAGGCTAGTGTGATGGAAGCTGAGACAGAGCTGTCACGATGTGAGTTCAAGCCATGTTCATGGCCAAAAACAAACAAAAAAATTAAATCAAAAAAGTAAAATAATTAAAAATTAAAACAATTTAAAAAATTAAAAAGACAATTATTTATCTCCCTGTTTTGCAATTCGTGCCATTTTTTCTGCCAGGCCTGGGATTTGAACACAAAGTCTGGGTAAATAGGCAGCACTGTCGGGCTAGGGGAATCACACCATACTTGAAGGCAAGAAAGTCAGGCCTCTTTCCTAGGC